CCATTATCTGAAAGCAACAGCAGATCGAAAATACTTTCGAGATTCTCTACAGTTGATCCTCACCAGTTATCGTCAACACAACGCAAATAATCTAAGAAAAAGAGATCATAGTTATCAACTTTGTGAGAATCGGAAAGCAAGTTACATAGAATTACATTGTGCGCACAAAGAGGAGCAGAGGATAGTTGGAACGTGGTGACCAACAAAATGAACCTACATAGCTCTGTAAAGCTACAGCGTAAGACAGAAGAGATGAAACAGCAACTTACAACAATAGCAATCATGAAACATCCGAAAAATATTAAAATGAAACATACCACACATTATACATCGACCTCGACCTTATTCTTCTCGACATTCTCAAGCTCAGCTTCCAACTTCCTAGCCGCGTTCTTGGCGGCGACCCTGTTGAAGTACGGAATCATCGACACCGCAGCGACTGCACCGAATATACACAATGCTATCAATACCATATAGTAGAAGTCGTAGTGTGCACCACTGACAGCATCCTCAGTTGGATTCTCAACATCGAAATTGGGAAGCCAATCAGAGCATAGTTGGAAAAGGACCGCCGAGAGAACATTAGAAATAGAGAAGAAGCAAAGGTTGAAGGCTGAAGCAACTGCCTTCAATGCTCCCGGAGAGTGGGTGAATGCGACTTCGTAAGAAGTTGAAATTAGGAAGATCTCACCAGCAGCAATCAACCAGAACTGCGGAATCTGCCACCAAATGGAGACAGAGAAGACAGGCTTCGGCATAACCATATACTCCACACCAAGAGCCACGAGTAGGGACGCCGCGCCACACAATGAACCAATGCAGAAACGTACCAGAACTGGTGGCATTAGGTTGTGCCTCTTCAGAAGAGGGAACAACACCGTATCAACCAAAACACTAGTCAAAACCACGGCAATAGGATCCACGTTCTGCATCATCTGAGCCGGCATCTCCCATCCGAACAGGTTGGTGTCCATCTTCTTACCTTGAGTTAGGAAAGCTGTCGTCATGTTATTGTAAGCCATCACGAAAGGTATAATGAGGGAAAATAAAGGCACCAATCGGAAGAGTGCCTTTGCATCCTCAATGAAACCATCCTTGAAACGACCACCATTGGACTCCTTGTTTTTTTCCAGGGAGCACCTCGTAATAGAAAAGAAGAGTACCTTGAGGATCTCCAATACAGCAGATCCCTGAGGCTTGGGCTTGACATAACGACCCATCAAGTTACCCCCAATAAAAACAATCGTTGCAATGATAAAGGCAACTAAAGGGAAAGAAAAGCTTGCAGTGAAAGAGACCGATTCGACCAAAATCGGAGTGACAATACCACCAACAATAGAACCAAGATTGATAGAAGCATAGAAATAGGTGTAATACCTTGTATAGATCTTTATGCTCCTCAGGATGGAACTG